TTTTTCTTTTTCATAGACTTGCGATTATATCATATTAATTAGTTGTTAGCATTCAATACCATGTAACTTTGGGTTTCCCTCTATGAATTACTCCCAGCTATTGCAAAAAAAATAAAAAATAAAAACCACACCCCAGTTTAGATAATTAGATCATATTAATTTGGTTATGTACGACCTAAATTTTCAAAAGTGCTTCAAGCTATTTTAGCTAGCCATTCTAAACAAACCAATTTTAGCCTCAAACAAAAAGATTAAAATGAACAAACCTAGATGCTGTAGAAAATTTTTTGCGTGAAAAATAAAATTGACAAATCAAGGTATCTACCTTGTTTATGTTACATGAACATTTGAGCAGGCACGTAACATAGGAACCTTCTCCGACAAAAAAAATTTCTCCTTCTCTTCTCGAATTCAAGCAAACCGTCTGAAAACAAAAATCAGATTTTGACCAAAAAATAAAGTTGAATTTTTGTTTCAGCCAAAACCTAAATGGTACAGTCTCTCTCTTGGAGGACAATCGGGCCTCCCTCGACGGAACGAATCCCGCCGACTAGTGTGACTTGCCTCGATAGTCCATTGTGATGGGTTCGATTCAAGCCCCATTGCGCAGTTTCGGATAAGAATGGTAACTGTGATGTTATCACCTATCATTTACGAAGACTTCTGTTTGGTCACGTATTCCCTTTCTTATATCTAATTGGATATGATACTTGCCCGATACTTTTAGATATTGATCGAATACGTATCATGGTCAATATACAAAATATTAACTACACGGACACGCGTATTCTATATTTCAAACAAGCTTATCGAGCTTTTAAGATACATTTACACTAAAAAAAAAAAATTATAATGAAAAGAGAAAAATTAATATGAGACATCTATAATTGAAAGTTAATTAATACAAATAATTTCCCTCTAATTAAAATGATGTATACTTGTGACATCCCACATCGCCCAGGGGAGTGATCCTTATATGTATATTCCCATCTTGACCTAGCACGAGGCCTTTTGGGAGCTCACTGGCTTCGGGTTCCGTAAGAACTCCGAAGTTAAGCGAGAAGAGGGCTAGAGCAATCCCATGATGGGTGACCCACTGGGAAGTTGCTCGTGAGTTCCCAAAAACAAAACCGTGAGGGAATGGTAAGCTCAAAGCGGACAATATCATGCTACGGTGGTGGAGCGAGCCCGAGAAGTGGTCCGCCTCGGGTCGGGATGTGACAATTTGGTATCAGAGCCTAACCCTGGTCGTGGTGTGCCGACGACGACGTCGGGCCCCTAAGGGGGGTGGATTGTGACATCCCACATCGCCCAGGGGAGTGATCCTTATATGTATATTCCCATCTTGACCTAGCACGAGGCCTTTTGGGAGCTCACTGGCTTCAGGTTCCGTAGGAACTCCGAAGTTAAGCGAGAAGAGGGCTAAAGCAATCCTATGATGGGTGACCCACTGGGAAGTTGCTCGTGAGTTCCCAAAAACAAAACCGTGAGGGAATGGTAAGCCCAAAGCGGACAATATCGTGCTACGGTGGTGGAGCGGGCCGGGGAAGTGATCCGCCCCGGGCCGGGATGTGACAATTGGTATTAGAGCCTAACCCTGGTTATGGTGTGCCGACGAGGACGTCGGGCCCCTAAGGGGGGGCATTGTAACATCCCACATCGCCCAGGGGAGTGATCCTTAAATGTATATTCTCATCTCTACCTAGCACGAGGCCTTTTGGGAACTCATTGGCTTCGGGTTTCGTAGGAACTCCGAAGTTAAGCGAGAAAGAGGCTAAAGCAATCCCATGATGGGTGACCCACTGGGAAGTTGCTCGTGAGTTCCCAAAAACAAAACCGTGAAGGAATGATAAGCCCAAAGCGGACAATATCGTGCTACGGTGGTGGAGTGGGCCCGGAAAATGGTCCCGCCCAAGTCGGGATGTGACAATACTGCTCTTCCTACTCTTACACTTCTTCTAATGTATATAAAGTGGATTCCATTGCCAACTTTTATTCTCTAACAACTCAAATGTCTTGAATTTGAAATGATCAATTGTGTATGTATTTTTTTTTTTTGCAAAATTGATGAATTGTGTTTTAAATTGTATATTTTTATTTGGTTCATCAATAGCGTATTGTATCTATAAACAGAAGAAGAGTTCTAATAAAATTGTTTCTATTAAAATAAAATAAAATAAACATACATAAATTCATAAATAAAAAGAAAAAAAAAAAAAAAAAACCAATTGAGAAGGATCTTTTCCCTTCTTTATTTCTGTCAACAGAAACTCAGAAACTTTGAACTCGAAGGTTGTCGCTTTCATCCTCCTCCTCCCAACGCCGTCCGCACTGACTCCTCCATTACAGCTCCGAGTTGCTTTCTTTCGTGGTTGTTCATCATCAATGAACCCTAATCTCGACCCTCCCCCATTTGACTTTGCCTATAAAATGAAGGCTGACCTCTACCACTATCACCACCACCTTCAGACAGCATGGCTTCTTTGTCTCTTCCATACTACCTTTCTGCCCGAAACAGTAACAGCCTTCAGGTCTCCGCAAGATTCTCAAACATTTCTCATCAAAATCTGGATTTCTCTTCCTCAGTTTCTTCCTCATGGTTATCCCTACATTGTCCAGTACTCTCCCCGCCTGCTCCCACCAACACCCTTATTCAGGGTGAAGTTGTGGCTGGCAACTTTTTCCGATTTCCCCCGAAGCAGAGACCTCGCTCCCTTAGGCATTTACGTAAGGTCATGAAAGCAACGGTATATGGATGGTGGCAAGTCACACAAGAACAAACCGTTTGACTCTGTCAAAGCAGAAAGTGTATTCAACCGTGCAGTGGTAACACTCAGGAAACAAAACACCAGTGCGGTGGTTATGGAAGATTATGACGACTACAATCTTTTGAATGAGTTGATAATCAAGAATGTTTGGGTGCCGGATTTTATGATCCATGAAGAAACTGACAAAGCATTCAGGGATGCATTTCGGTTAAGGACCGAGGAGCTGGGGAACGATCTGCGGAGAGAGACGGTGAAGGTCATGAACAAGCATTAGTGGTTTGTTAAGAAATTTCTGAGTTATGTATTTTAATTTCTCCAAAAATGCAACCCACCGACTGCTTGTTGCTTGTTTTAACCGACTGCTGTAGTGAATGGAAATTTATTATCTATATGTTTTTTTATTCTTATTCACTCTCACTGCTTTCAATTAGTTTTTCTTTGGGGAACAATTGAGCTATTTGTGATAGGGACCGAAAATCGAAACTGGAACACGAATTAATTCGACTGAATATCAAATTAATTTGTTTGTTTTGGTCATGAGGCTTAATTTGTTAATTTATTTTCTTCTACAACATCTGAGCATGCATGACAGTAGTAATTTCAGAGGCATTCAAAGGCTACATTGTGAACTCCGATTCAATGTTGGTCTAAATAGACGACTTTTTGATCTTCGTCTCAAATAATTTTGTTTTGTCAAGACAAGGGGCTTGAACGATGATATCCCAACACTTCTTCCCAATCATCGACTCGGATGATTGTATCACTGAGGAAACCATTAGTGTTAATTAATTCAAATTTGGCATAGCTTTTGAAATAAAAGGGGTTGATAATTTTAGGCATCAGATTATAGATGAAATTTTGCCCAATTGATACTTTCATATTTACGAAAACAAGAGTACTCCAAACAGGTTATAACAATAGTGCTTATTCACTAAGCTATAACAGGTGTAAATTTCTCAAAAACCGAACTGAAACCGTTTGATGGCCAAGTTTATGCAAACCAACTCTTAGCTCGTCAATGTTAACTTGCCCTTGTTAATATCCATGCACTTAAAACCCTCCATTATGCTACTAGCTTTCTGCATCGAGAAATGCTCAGCTATAACCTGTTAATTTAAATTTCTGAAAGAACCAAAAGGAAACATTAGTAACTGAGGACACATACATATCAAACGTAGAATAGAATACATTAAGCAGATGAAAGGTTATGAAAAAAAATTATCAAACATAGATCTTTGAAAAAAACTACATTGAGCACATTTCTTGAGCTTGTTCATAAGAGAGAAATGCTTGAGCCTTGACCGAACAGTTTCACCTAAAGAAACATTTGGAGCTCAAAGAAACATTTGGAGCTTTCTTTGCACTTTGCAACCAAGGACGATCTGCACTCAAAGAACCAAGAATAAGATGTACGTTCATAATATTATGTTTTGCACTTTCCAAATTCTTCAAGCAACAAAAGTCTCTTTAACATTACGTAGAACTTCCGGAGCTGTAAGCCTCCGCTTTGGATCAGTATTAAGTGTCTTCTTCACAAAGTCTTTTGCATTATCAGAAACCAGAGGCCAGGGGTCCCTCTTAAAATCTACAACAGACCGTATAATTGCTTGTGCAACTCCTTGTTCTGTTTCCGCACAGCAAGATAATAGATTAAAGTCCGAAACTGTCAAAGATGCAAGCACTCGGAAAACCAGAAAGTAATCAGAATTCGATAGAAATGAAGAGAAATTAGAAAAGTGGGAAATTCATTTCAATGGGTCTCAAATTCACGCATGAACATATAAATATATGGTGAGTACATATGGTAGCAGCACATCACTTTTTGTTGGTACATCACTTTTTGTTGGTAGATAAATTGCCAACCTAAGAGTATACAACGCCCAAGCACGTGTTTTAATAGTAGCAATGCGAATTTCTTATTTGATACCAAAGTTGATGAAATACAATGTGTTTGGAAATATTTTGACCGACCATAGTCCATGGATGGACAGTGCAAGCGAAAAGATAAGGCATAACTAGTGAATGTGAACTTTAAAATAGTTCTCCCCCACTTAATTTCTTCAGTGAAAATATAGATAGATATTGCATCCATACCATCCAGAGTGTGTAGGAGTGCTATTTGGAGAAGAGCATTTGTAGCACTCCACCCCCATTTTTATTTAAAAGTGGGTTTTTAATTCTTAGTTGGTGTGTTCAAGGAGGCGCACCTTCTGTGTTTGTGTCCCCCATTCCCGTCACTCTTCCATCTCTCTCCCTGTCATTCTTCCCTATCCCGTATACCTCACATCTTCTCTTTCTTTCAACTCTCTGCACTCTCTCCCGTATCTCTCGAAATTCTCTCGCCCCGCGTCCCACAACCGTGTTCATCCATCACCACAACACCCTCCCTGGCGTTAACAGTGCCGTCATCATCATCATCGTCATGCCGTCTCTCTCTCTCTGGTCGCATGCAAAGAATGGCGAAACCCAGAAGCACTTCGGTGATATTTTCTTATTGTTCCGATTAGGTAAGCCTTGGTTTTCTCTCTAATCCTTGTAGAGGAGGTGTGGATGAGTTTTAATGAGTTTTATTTCGTCATTTCCAAGGATTTTAGAGCAAGATCAACTCGGGAGAAAACTCACCCAAATCCGGCGAGCCCGTGAGTGTCGAGGAGCTTTCTGTCTATCTTAGGTCGTTCCACGGCGAACCAAAGGTATGAAAACATTCCTCTCGTCTAGTACTTCATCTTGGTACCTAGATCGGAGCCTAAGGTGTACGTTTGCAGTCGGCCGGAGCTGTAGAAGCTCCGGCGTTCTTCTCCGTTTGTTTCCGTCAGCATGAAGGCCCTTCAGGACACCCACGGGCTTTGGGCCCGTAGACCAAACCCAACCCATTCTTTTTCTTGTAATTAATTTTTGTTATTTATTTTAATGACGCAAAGGGCCTTGGGCTGTTTTTATTTAGAAATGGCTTAAAGCCCGGCCCCTTGTGTGAGGCCTTTGGGCTGTGCAGTACGTGAATGGGTATGTGTATGTGGATTGTGTGCATGCGTGCCCGTGCGCGTGCAGTGCATGCACATGCGTGTGCATGCCGTGCTTGTGTGTATGTGTGTGTTTGTGTGAATGTGTGAGTGTGTGTGGTGCACGTGTGTGTGTGTGTGTGTGTTGTGCCATGCGTGTGTGTGTGTTGGTTTAGGCTTAAGCTAAAACCACCCATTTTCACCCTAACCCTTTTTAACCAAAAACCTTAGGACCCAAAAACCCAAAATCTCTCCTAGGCCAATTTTGATGTTCCGAATCCGTTTTTGGCCTCCATTTCCTAGAATTCTACCGTTTGGGCATAGTTTGATAAATTGTACATTTTTGTGCTTAGGTGAACTTGCTAGTGGGGATTTCCTTAATCCTTTTCCGCACAACTCTGCTGCTACGAAGTATCTGTGAGTGGACCCCTTCTAAAATTACATGATTTCGTAGTTTAATTGCATAAATGAAAAGCATGCCTTACGAGTTTATGGATTGATTTTATGTTAAGCATGTTTGTTGAAATGTTGATTATAGTCTCGTTATTTTGTGAGGAATTAATTCTTGGCCTATATTGAGCTATAGTTTGATATATTGTATTCTCTATAAAAACCATGAACTAGTAGACTATCTGATGGATGACGATAGGATGCTAGAACATGTTTTAGAAACCCCTCTTTATAGTATAGATGATGGATGACTTTATACTGTGAAGTGGTTATTTATGAGAGGCGTAACTATTTGTGTGTACTTAGTGGACACTATGCCGCCTGGGGCGAAGATCTGGTGTTGGCAGTTAGGCTGGGAGAAATAATCCCTAGCTACTGGAGGAGGGACACGGAGCAGGCATTGGGCCGAGAGTTGGTAATGTCTGGCTACGGGCGCAGAGACCATGGTGCTGGCATAGGGCTGGGAGTTATATTTATTCAGTGATCTTACTAGTAGCACACCGCGCTTACGAGACGATCTGTGAGACTGTTGATATTTTGATTTCCGCGATGTTTTTCCGCGATGTCTTTTGAGATGCTTTTGGCATGCTAAGGTTTTCAATAAACCTATCACTTATTATGCTAGTAGTTTTCTTTATATAAACTGTGGGGGTTAGTATCTTGATAACTGTTTTATATTATTATATATATGAACCTGGTCCACTCACCTTTGTTTTGCACCCCCATTCAGGTCTTAGAATCAAGGTACACAATCCCGGTGTCAAGGCACTTCAACATCGGCATCTTCGAGCCGTCTTGGTGTAGGACCCACTCCTTTATTCATTCAATTTTATATTATTTCTTTTAGTGTTCTAATTAGCTGTATGCTCTGAACATGTTCCTAAGTTGTTAATTCATTGTATTTCAATTCATAACCCTTATTTATTTCTCATTCTTAGCTTTTGTATCAATTAATGGCTTTCGTCACCCTTGGATGTCGGCCATCACGTGTCTATCCTGGTATTCAAGCAATATCAGGGTCGGGGCGTGTCAGATTGGTATCAGAGCATGGTTTTGTTCAGAGCATACTTAGAATCTTCTGTTACTCTAGTACTGTGTCAGTCATGACATCATTTGGATATCATGACTTTCAGATTTGCTATCTTTTCGATATGGTTGTGCAATCCTCATCATGTTATGAATTATCTCATCCTAGTGAAGAAGAAGTAATTTGTGTCGGGATTGTGCCTCATCGGTGATGTAATGGGTTGTTGAACGACTTTCAACATCAGACCGATACTCTATGACGTTCATTTCTTGGGAAGGGCAGGCATAATCTGTGTTACTTGGAAGCGACGTGTTTTAGAAATCTCAATTTGGGGAAATTTGGTCAAGATCAGCAACAGATCCAAAATGGCGATGCCACTATGCAACATGCATTCCTTAGGAATTGGGGGCAGAGTCGGCTCTACATCGAAATCTTGGGAAACGGAAAAATCTTAGTGGTACGAGTTAGTTAAGACCAACTGGAGTTTTGAAACGGTGATATCACTCTGCAACATGCGTTCCCCAAGAATGGCGGGCAGAGTCATATCGTAGTGACAACTACTTAAAATATTCAAAGTGCATGTTTGAGAAAGCGAGTAAGTGTTAGTTGTGAAGGCGGTTAGTAAGTGCTAGTTGGTGGGAGCAAATCAATGTTCTCAAACTCATTACCACTGAAGAAACTTGTGTGAATCTGTAGAATGAATCTTTGGCAATTGTTTTATCGATAACCTTCTTACTTACTCCAACCCCGAAGTCAAGTTCCTTAAACTTTGACTGTCGGCTTTACACCAAATTCTTCGAGTGTCGACTTCATTTACATTAATTGCTTTTCTTGGGAAACTCCTTAGTAACGGATGCTATTCTCACCAATTTCTAAAAGTAGTTACGATTCTTGTTGTTGTAGTTGGATTGGGATGATGAAGATCCAGTCTTGTTTGGATATACAGACTCCTTGAACTTCACCTGGGTCTGGTACTCGGCAGTAAATCCTAGATCCTTATCCACGTACTTTCCGATAAGGTGAACTTAGCCTTTTACTTATAGCCCAACTAACCAATACTCTTGTCCACTAACTATTCAGCCTTGTAATTTTTCAGTGTAATGGCTTGAGATTCCACCATATTCATCATGGTACGAAGATCGAGCTTTACATTGAACTTCTCTAGAATCATTGTGCCTTGGTTTGCTCAAGGGCATCACTTTCTGATAGCCAATCGTGTTACCGTATGCATACGCAGACTGCCTTGTATCTTTCTTCTTCGTCGTTCTGTTAATTCAGAGGTTCTATGTTTAATTTTTGAACTTTGAAACAACTTTCACAAAGTATTGTGAATTTCAAATTGTCTTTGGCCTTGTCAAATCTTATTATCAGTTCTTAATTATTCCTGAGCTTGAACCTATTTCCTTTTTGCCTAAGAAATCAGTTGACCATACTGTGATGATTTGCAAAATAATCATAAAACAATGACTTCTATTTCTGCATCTTCACCTTCTTTCGTTTTTTCGTCTCTCAATGTGAAACTGGATCATGCCGGAACATTACATTAGAGTAAAAAAAAAAAAAAAAAACTTTGTTCTTGGCATGGTTTCTAGTTCAATCTCGATACCTTGTACTTTGGATTGTAATGGACTTGTTTTGACCCTCAAATTCTTGAGTGTTCTTTCAGCCTTCTCGACATGGTTTCTCGCTTAATCAGTGAGGAATTCACGATCGATCGATTCGGCAGAAGTGTATGCCCAATTCTTAACAATTCAGACAGGAACGTTAGGAGCATAACCTTTTCACAAGCTTATCAGGCTTACCAGAAAAGCTCCACGTGGGTGTGAGGTTTGAGCCGTCTTTTTGGTAAGGGATTGGTGAAGATTGTAGTACAGGTTATCAGCAGATTGCATCACTATCTTTATGCTGAATTGATTGGTCACATTTTGAAGAACCGAAGATGATGGTGTGCTAGGTGCTAGATGGAGTTGTTACGACTATAATTCTTACTTTGTTTAGTTGGGTACGACACTTTTGCAACCAGGTACGAGAGTTTTCCACGGGCAACATTGGCTAACAGAAGAGTATTGTGGACTAATATTCGGAAGATCAATCCTATGATATGCGAAATTGTACACCCTTAGGAAATCACTGCTTGTTTATCGAGACAACGGATGTGCGATCGATATTGCAGGCTGCAGTCTATGATATTGATAACTTATTTGTTGGATTCGTTAAGCAAGTGGGCAGGAAGACCCGTCAACGATAGTGCTGCGGATTAGTCATTGTAGGTGCTCGACCTAAAGATAATTTTTCATGTAATGGGTGATGTTACGAATTCTTGGGCTAAACTCACTTCCATTCTCGATTTTGGTTTTTAGTACAAGTATTTTAACTTACCTCTTCACAGTTATATATATATATATATATATATATATATGTATATTTGTATTTTCGAAGTTAAAATGTTTTGAGGGAAGTATTTCCATTTTCAGTTTTAAGTTCAGCATGAGTTTTCGATCTATATGTTAGTACTCATCTATTTTGACGTTATCTTATTTTATGTTCTTACTTTTGGCCTTAAGCTATTTTGTTTTTTCGACTATATTTTTTATTAAAGTATATTTCTATTTTTACATTGATGGGGAAAGAAGGTATGAGCCTGGAGGCACGAAAGATGGAATTATTGCAACCCGATCGCGACGGGATGGCATTTCCCTTTTTGTGAAACCACTTTTACTTGATTTCTTCGTTACATACATATATATTTTTCTTCTCCCTATTTGTTTTTCGAGTTTTTCAGTGTAGTAAGTTATTTCAAATTTCGAGGACGAAATTTTTTATAAGGGGGTAGATTGTAATACTCCACCCCCATTTTATTTAAAAGTGGGTTTTTAATTCTTAGTTGGTGTGCTCAAGGGGGCCCACCTTCTGTTTTTGTGTCCCCCATTCCCGTCACTCTTCCATCTCTTTCCCTGTCCTTCTTCCCTATCCCGTATACTTCTTCTCTGTCTTTCAACTCTTTGCACTCTCTCCCGTATCTCTCGAAATCTTCTCACCCTGGGACCTACAACCGTGTTCATCCATCACCACACCACCTTCCCTGGCGTTAACAGTGTCGTTATCATCATCATCATCATCATGCCGTTTCTCTTTCTCTGGTCGCATGCGAAGAACGGCGAAACCAATGAGCACTCCGGCGATATTTTCTTATTGTTCCGGTTAGGTTAGCCTTGGTTTTCTCTCTAATCCTTTTACACGAGGTGTGGATGAGTTTTAATGAGTTTTATTTCGTCATTTCCAAGGTTTTTAGAGCAAGATCAAATCGGGAGAAAACTCACCCAACTTCGGCGAGCCCGTGAGTGTCGAGGAGCTATCCGTTTATCTTAGGTCCTTCCACGGTGAACCAAATGTATGAAAATACTCCTCTCGTCTAGTACTTCATTTTGGTACCTAGATCAGAGCCTAAGGTGTACGTTTGCAGTCGGCCGGAGTTGTAGAAGCTCCGGCGTTCTTCTCCGTTTGTTTCCGTCAGCATGCAGGCCCTTCAGGCTGTTCAGGACACGCACGTGCTTTGGGCCCGTAGACCAAACCCAACCCATTCTTTTTCTTTTAATTAATTTTTGTTATTTATTTTAATGACCCAAAGGGCCTTGGGCTGTTTTTATTTAGAAATGGCTTAAAGCCCGGCCCCCTGTGTGAGGCCTTTGGGCTGTGCAATGCGTGAGTGGGTGCGTGTGTATATGGACTGTGTGCATGCACATGCGTGCGCGTGCGCGTGCATGCACATGCGTGTGCGTGTCGTGCATGTGTGTAGCATGTGCATGTGTGTGTCCATGTGATGTGTGAGTGTGTGTGGTGCACGTGCGTGTGTGTGTGTGTTGTGCCGTGCTTGTGTGTGTGTTGGTTTGGACTTAAGCTCAAACCACCCATTTTCACCCTAACCCTTTTTAACCAAAAACCTTAGGACCCAAAAACCCAAAATCTTTACAAGGCCAATTTTGATGTTCCGAATCCGTTTTTGGCGTCCATTTCCTAGAATTCTACCGTTTGGGCATAGTTTGATAAATTGTACATTTTTGTGCTTAGGTGAACTTGCTAGTGGGGATTTCCTTAATCCTTTTCCACACAACTCTGCTGCGACGGAGTATCTGTGAATGGACCCCTTCTAAAATTACATGATTTCATAGTTTAATTGCATAAATGAAAAGCATGCCTTACGAGTTTATGGATTGATTTTATGTTAAGCAGGTTTATTGAAATGTTGATTATCGTCTCGTTATTTTGTGAGGAAAATTCTTGGCCTATATTGAGCTATAGTTTGATATATTGTATTTTCTATAGAAACCATGAACTGGTAGACTATCTGATGGATGACGATAGGATGCTAGAACATGTTTTAGAAATGCCTCTTGATAGTATAGAGGATGGATGACTTTATACTATGAAGTGGTTATTTATGAGAGGCGTAACTATTTGTGCGTACTTAGTGGACACTATGCCGCATGGGGCGAGGACCTGTTGTTGGTAGTTAGGCCGGGAGATATAATCCATAGCTACGGGCTGAGGGACACGGAGCAGGCATAGGGCCGGGAGTTATATTTATTCAGTGATCTTACTAGCAGCACACCGCGCTTACGAGACGATCTGTGAGACGATTGATATTTTGATTTCCGCGAAGGTTTTCTGCGATATGTCTTTTGAGATGTTTTTGGCATGCTAGGGTTTTCAGTAAACCTATCACTTATTATGCTAGTAGTTTTCTTTATATAAATTGTGGGGGTTAGTATCTTGATAACTATTTTATTATTATTATATATATGAACCTGGTTCACTCACCTTTGTTTTGCGCCCTCATTCAGGTCTTAGAATCGAGGCACACAATCCCGGTGTCAAGGCACTTCAACATCGCCATCTTTGAGCCATCTCGGTGTAGGACCCAATCCTTTATTCATTTAATTTTATATTATTTCTTTTAGTGTTCTAATTAGCTGTATGCTCTGAACACGTTCCTAAGTGGTTAATTCATTGTATTTCAATTCATAACCCTTATTTATTTCTCATTCTTAGCTTTTGCATCAATTAATGGCTTTCGTCACCCTCGGGTGTCGGCCATCACGTGTCTATCCTGATATTCGAGCAATATCAGGGTCAGCGCGTGTCAGCATTAATTAAGAAAGAGGAAAGCAGCACCTACATACTTTAGTCGAGAAACTAATCCTAGGTGAGTATGCACATACTGCATTCAAGTATGCAATTATGACCAGTGTGTATAAATATGCACTACGAAATAACCACATAATGTTTTTAGCCAACAGGTTGTAACTAATTAATCCTCTAACATACCAAACCATAAACTACAGAAAAGATAATACTTACAGCTTCCATCATAATATGAAGATCCCCATCAAGAATTTGATGGCCAAGTTTATGCAACCCAACTCTTAGCTCGTCAATGTTAGTCTTACCATTGTTAATATCCATGTGCTTAAATCCCCCTCCTGTATGCCACCAATTTCCTCCATCGTCAAATGCTGAGCTATAACCTGTTAATTTAAAATTCAAAAAGAACCAAAAGAAAACATTAGTAACCAAGGACACATACATATCAAATGTACAATAGACCACAAAAAGTAGACAAAGTGTTACGAGAAAATTATCAAACTTGAAAGAGTACCTTGAGACCGCTTTTCTTGAGCTTGTTTTGTTCATAACAGAGAAGTGCTTGAGCCTTGACCGAACAGTTTCACCTAAAGAAACACTTGGAGCTTTCTTTGCATTTTGCAACCAAGAATAAGATGTACGTTCATAACATTATGTTTGGCACTTTCCAAATTCATCAAGCAAAAAAAGTATCCTTAATATTAAACAATGATGATAATCATCAAGAGAACTGAACATTACCTAGAACTTCCGAAGCTGTAAGCCTCTGCTTTTGTTAAGGACGAGCATCTTCTTCACAAGGTGTTTTGCATTATGAGAAACCAGAGGGCAAGGGTCCCCCTTAAAATCGACAACAGACTGCTTGGAAATTCGATAGGAAATAAAAGAAATTCAAAAAGTGAGAAATTATTTTCAACAGGTCTCAAAAATTCATGTATGCAGATATAAGTGTATGGGTGTGTAAACATGGTTGCAGCACATCATTTTTTGTTAGTACATAAGTTGCCAACCTAAGAATATATGAGACACAAGCACGTATTTTAATAGTAGTAATGCCAACTTCCTATTTGTTGACAAAGTCGATGAAATACAATGTGTTTGGATAATATTTTGACCAACCCCTGGTCCATGGATGGATGCACAGTGCAAGCAAAAAACTAAGGTACGACTGGCGAATGTGAACTTTAAAACAGCGCTCCCCACTTAATTTCTTCAGTGCAAATATGGATAGATGATGCTTTCATACTATCTAGTGTGTGTACAAGTGTTAACTTGGAGAACAGCATTAATTAAGAAAGATCAAAACAGCTTTTACATACTTTAGTCGAGAAACTATTCCTAGTTGTGTATGCACATCCTACATGCATGTATGCATTTATAACCAGTGCGTATAATATACGCTGTGGAATAACCATATATTGTACATCCTCTATAAGAATATAACTACTGTACATTACCAGTTGTATCTATACTATAGTGAAATGTTTAAAGTGACGCACATATACAAACACACACAAACCTGCCCAAAATGGTGGAACACCACAAGGTAAGATATCGAGTATAACTCCAGCACTCCACACATCAACTTCAGGACCATAATTGCTTTTAAGCACCTCAGGAGCCATGTAATAGGAACTTCCAACAATTTCACTAAATACTTCACTTGGAAATACATAAAAAACCAAAAAAAAAAAAAAATGGCTTAGTAAACTAATCAGAACGAGAAAATCAAATGCCATAGTCTGGGGAGGACTTTACCAGGTTTATAGAATACGGACAACCCAAAATCAATTGCCTTTAAAGGTACTGTTTCCTTCTTGTTTTCAAACAAATACTTCTCGGGTTTGGGTTTGAGATCCCGATGCATCAAACCGTGCTTGTGGCACATCTGCAAAGAATAAAACACATTAAATTATGCCAGTGTATGTAAACCTATCAAAAGGTCGATTCCACAAAGAATAATCTTGGGAACACAAATCTATTATGTACATAAACGACAAAAGAACCGATTCACCACAATTCGACAACCGCAATTTGACCACCAAAAGCTGGCTTAACTAATATAAAATGAAAATGGAATATACTCATCAAAGAATTGAACAAATGATCAAAATTTCAATTAGTTATAGATTCACCTGTTCATCAACTAAAACCTTTAGAATGTGTTTTTAATCAAAGTTTATCACTACTAAACAAGTACTTAAATAAATCAAAGCTTTTTTTTTATTAGCATCTCACGTAATATTGGATGCATTCCACATTAAAATATAATATTAAATGACTTTGGTACCCTACCATGCAATGATAATTTCGACTTTGTTAGATTTAGAAAAAACAGAAATTTCTAATGCACCCCAAATAACTTTTAACGTATTATTTATCTTTTTCAACTATCAAAACCACTCTCACTCTGCATTGTTGACCAAAACCCTAACCAATGAAAATACAAGCACGTTTATTGAGAAAAATTATTTTTGACGAATGAAACACGAAATTGATGTTTCAAAAGCTCCACATGAGGTAAGTGTTCATATTTTTCATTGTCAGCAACATGGGTAATTATTTAAGCCTACTTTTGCTTTCCAAAATACCTCTCTTGTTTTCTAACGTTCTTGTGGGTATTTATGGGTTCACATTTTTTTGTTTATTACCTAAATGCATCTCTCTTAGGAACTTTTCTCAACGTTAATATGCATTATTTTTTCCTTTGTGCTATGAAGTTTAACCTCTAACCATATATCAGTTCTTCAGTCCTTTCGGTAATTGAAAGAGCAAATATGTGGTGTATTAAACTAATTTTTAATTGAAAAATGAAATGTGGGATGTATTAAGTATGTAAAGTTTATTCAACAATGTATGAGGTGTCAATATAATAAGTCTTATTAGTGCAGGCGAACGACTTGCAGGAGTCCTTATCGGTGCAAAGGTTATAAGGACAGCACTTACCATCGTCTTTCAATGGCGAACCCGTCTGGGTGGTTGGACGGCAATTACCCATACCTAAAAAATGGGTCTGGGAGCCATAATCGTGTCAGAATTCATATCGAACTCGAAATATGAGGTTTTTGGGCAAAATCAAGAGATGGGTTTTTTAGATCGAGATCCGAATTGCTCGGTAACCAATTGAATTGAGAAATTTTTGGATGATGAACAAAATTTGAAACGAGAGATGTGATTTAAGTAAATGGGGAGAGAGGGTTTTGGTGGATTGGTGGAATAGAGAGAGGCTCCTCTGAGATGAATGATGCTTTTATTAGTAGAATTAACGTACACTATTCAATTTTCATGATAAAATACTCTAAGATTTTCATAATTATGTGTGTTTTTTTTAACAAACGATATTATCTACACTAAAGAAGAAGAAGTGGGTTTTGCCTCACAATAGACTAACAATAATATCTGATTCAAATTCATTGTCGTTTGTGTTACAGGTAAAGATCAGGGAGTCTCTTGTTTGAGTATCACCTAAATCGGTAAAGCATATCAAAAGATGTGCATTATGGATTTTATATAAACACAAAGTGTATAAGTTGCCATCGTTTTTGGAGGCAGATTATCTGCCTTCCTGTTACCGTGCCCTTCCCATCCTCTCCTATTTGTCCGGTCATGGTTAAGTCACGTCAACATTTTATATTCTTATTACTTTTTGTCTTATTATCTCTATAAATAATCAATATAAATGTTGACGTGACATAACCGTGACCGCATAAATAAGAGAGGATGAGAAGGGCACGGTAACAGGAGGGCAGACAAGTTGCCTCCATCCTTTTTTGTGGTGACTTGAAAATATAGGAATCAGCTTCTCTTAGAATTTTCTATTTTGAGCAATGCTAGCTGTCTTCCTCATTTACTTTTTCAATTTATCTTTCCCACTTGTTAAGTGTGTTCCACTAACACTCAAAAGTTAACTTTTAATGCTTACAAAACTCATAATTATTTGGGTTTTTATTACAAACAGCCCTTGAAATTGACCCAATCAATTAAGATAGTCCTTGAAATTGAAAAATCGATTAACACCGTCCTTGAAAAATGAGTGGTGCAAATCAATATCGTGCATCACTTCTCTCCATTCATTTATTATTTTCCACCAAACATGAGAACTTTAGTTGTTGCTTTTAAAATAACTAAAGGTGTTCATATCACAAATATTGTTGATAACCATGTTTGGCCAGAAAAAAAAAATTAAAATGCTTATGTGTTTAAAAAAGCACATGCAATGTTGCAATGTTTTGTGTTTCTTTTCAGAAGCACTTCGAGACTTTGAGTGCTTTTTCAAAACCCATTTGCATTTTCATTCAAAACTTTGAAGTAATTTCAAGAGAAGCGATTTTAAACTGAAGTATTTTCTAAAGAATGATGCCCAAAACGGCCCTTAAAAGAAAGTTTTATACAATGTTTTATAAAGTTGATATGGGAGTTAACGTTCAAATTTGAGGTGGTAGAGAGTCTACAGAGAGCTCCACTCTGATACAAATTGACACACATCGACCACGAATGTTTACTTGGACACTCGAATCTAGATATGCTGGCCGACACCGGAAAGGTGACTGAGCCATAAGTTGTAATGATGTGGAAAATGTGAATAAATTAAAAGGAAAACTAATGAAAATAGCTTAAAAACTTTAAGTTTTAACGATAAGGACAAAATAAAGGGTAACATGAATAGTACCAGGTTTGACTTTTTAGTGTTAAAATGTGATTTTTCTTTAAAGTGAACAGTATTGTGGGCTTTTCGTTAAAACTCCCTAAATTAAAACCTAAAAGTGACTAATACAAGAGCGCGTATGTAAGTAGAATTGAACTCATATCATAAAACTGATATCAGAGTATAAGTAAAATGCAATGAAAGTAGAGTAATAATTATACCGTTAGGAGTAGTCTCCTAGATATCAGCTTTTTCTCGTAATACTCGTCAACAACATAATAGAATTATTTCTCAACCATTTTACGCACAAAAGGTATAAAAACAAAGTCCTTGGCAGTTCTCATTCCATATGATAACCACTGAACTTTTTCAAGGCTTCCATTGAAAGGCCCTTTTTTTTTTTTTTTTTTTTTTTTTTTTTTTTTTTTTTTTTTTGTCTAAAGTCCTCAGTGCTCAATAGTGTGGAATGAAGTTAATGATTTCTTTGATTCTTCATATTTTATTTCTTGATAAATTTTTATTTTATTTATTTCTTATTTAATATAAGAGATAGTTGTAATTAAACTGTACACTAAAATAGAGTAAGTTGCCCTCAAAAATTGGACTGTGGAAGCTCTTCCATATTAATTAAAATTTAGAGTAGGAAAATAATACATCAGTAGAATGGTGGTTAGTGCCCTAGTTGCAAAGTGGATCGATGTAGGGCTTGAGAGCACTAGATGTTTTAGTTTAGAGCAAGGCTAATTAATGAGATTAAATTTATAAATTAAATGATGTGTCACTAATAACAAATAGCCACGTTAATCAACACTTAAGTAATAATCCACATCATTTATTTGTGAGGGTCTTGGGGATCTTCACATCATGTCCATTTATTATACATCATGCGGTTAGAAATCATTTTAAATATTTTTTATTTAAAATTAAATACAAACAGTACCTGACAAAAATTAACCGTACGATGTAAATTGAACGGACAAAATATGAGGATTCTCAAGATCCTCACAAAGAGGATCCTCATTCCTCAATGCTACTGATACTTGAACTCCTTTGGGCCCCTTTCATTCAGATTATTGTGTGTAATTTAGGACCAAATTTCAATATACATACATATACAAATTGATTGAAAATTCAATATTGGTGGTTGAAAAAGTGGAGGACTGGGGCCCTTTAATCCCAGAAAACCAAGTTTTCTTTGGTTCCTAGGATTTGTAAACTGCACCTATATAGCTTAAAGCCTAGATCTAGAGTGAATTCTTTTGGAGTTTGAATTGTCCCATATCTTTAACATTTTTATGTGCTGAAAATTACAAATATATATAAATATATACATATATATATATATATATATATATATATTATCAAAAGTTGCATTTCTCGTGATGGTCACCAGAAATGTTTTCACATGTAGGGAATCATAACCTAAATATTGTATGTGGTACGTCTGAGACTCCAGATGTAATTATCCCTCTGGATCCATTATGTGGGGATCCTAGGAATCCCTGTATCTCAACCGCTTATCGTGTATTTAGCGGTAAAAAATCATTTGATTTTTATTATTTTAAATTAAACATAAATAGTACCAGATAAAAACTAACCGCACGATACACGATGAACGGTTAAGATGTGAGGATCGCGAGGATCCCCACATAATGAATCCAAAAAGGATCCTTTTCTGTACATTTGATCAGATTACCTAGTTAGAGCATGGAGCTGGAGTTACGAGTTTTGCTACATATCAAAGGGTACGGTCAGTAGTACTGATACTTGAACCCCTTTGCAAGAGAAGATATTATTAATTATGTCCCATTAATTCAATATATATTTCAACACAAAAAAAAATAAAAAATAAAGAATAAACTTCTAATAACAACAACAACAAAATTGTGGGTGCAAAATGGACGCTGATTTTCTTAACAAAGAAACCAAACAGTGATATTTTAAACGTACTAATGTATTCTAATGATATTACCTACATGA